GGCTGGGGATTCGAACCCGCCACCTTAGGTGTACGTGGCTGGCGCCTTAGCCGGTTGAGCTATAGGCGCCGAGCCCACAGAAAGGATTTTTAATATGTTTTTAAATTCAATAAGTCAACAAATAATTAGTGCCACTATATAGCAGGTACTGTTCTCAGTGCTCAGGACATACAAATTTATTTATAGACCTTTATGTTTATGGACTTTTACATTTAAATAGGGAGAGATAGTTAAGCAAATATATAGTATGTCTGATATAGCATATGGTAACAAGTGCTATGGAGAAAATGAAAGAAGAGTTAGGGAGAAAAGGAAGTCAGTGTGTGTGTGTGGGTCACTGTTTTAAACAGAATGGTCTCTAACAAGATAACATTTGAATAGAGGCCTGTAGGAAATGGGGTGAAAGTCTTAGAGATAATTGAGGGAAAAGCATGCCAGGCAGAAGGAGCAGCAAGAACTTGGTAGGAATATATTTGAGGTGGGAGTACATTTAAAGTGTTTAAGGACAGTGAGAAGGCCAATATAGTTAGAAAGGAAAAAGCAAGCAGGAGACTCATAGGAGATGAGTTCAGAGAGATACTGGGGAGCCAGATCATGGTGGGCCTTGCAGGCCACAAGTGAAAGATGACTGTGGCTTTTTGAGTAAGATAAGAAGCCATTGGAGGGCTCTGGCTGTGAAGGGATATGTTCATTTTGTTTTTGTTTTAGAGATAGGGTCTTGTTCTGTCACAGGCTGGAATGCAGAGGCTGGAATAAAATCATAGCTCTCTGTAGCCTTGTACTTGTGGGCTCAAGTGATCTTCCTACCTAAGCTTCCTGAGTAGCTGGAACTACAGGAGCATGCCACTATTCCTGACTTAATTTTTAAAAATTCTTTTGTAGCGACAGGTTCTGGTTATGTTACCTAGGCTGGTCTTGAACTCCTAGTCTTGAGTGATTCTACTGCTTTTTCCTCCTAAACTGCTGAATTACAGGTGTGAGCCACTGTACATGGTCAAGACTTAACATTTAAAAGGATAAACCTAGGCCAGGTATGGTGGCTCACACCCAAAATTTTGGTAGGCTGAGACAGAAAGACTGCTTGAGGCCAAGAGTTGGAGACCAGCATGGGGAACATAGTGAGACCCTTATCTCTATTAAAAAAAAAAAAATAAAAGAGGGCAGTGCCTGTGGCTCAAAGGAGTAGGGCGCTGGCCCCATATCCTGGAGGTAGTGGGCTCAAACACAGCCTTGGCCAAAAACTGAAAAAAAATAAATAAATAAATAAAAGAAAATTAGCTGGATATGGTGGCATGCTTCTGTAGTTCTTGCTACTTAGGAGCCTGAGGTCGGAGAACTGCTTGACTTTAGAAGTTTGATGTTGCTATGAGCTACGGCAATGCCACTGTACTCTAACAGGTGCAACAGAGCAAAAGTCTGCTTCAAAGAAAAAAAAAGGATAACTCCAACAGCAGTGTTGAGAACAGATTATAAAATTGGAGGACAGAAGCAGGTGGACTGATCAGGTGGCCACTCCAATAATTTGTGAGAGATGGTAGTAGCTGATTAGAGTAATAAGCAGCAGAGATAATGAGATGTAGTTGGATTCTATATATATTCTGAAGGTAAAGGAATAGTATTTGCTCATGGATTAGATGAGAGCATAAAGAATCCAGAATGACTCTAAAGTTTTAAAGACCGAGTTGCCATGTATATGGAAATAGGGATGACTGCAGGAGTAAGAGCTTGGGGTAGGGCTTGAAAGACAAGAAATCTACTGAGATGCCTGTTAATATGTAATTGTAAATGTCAAAAAGGCTGTTGCGTATAAAAGTTTGGAGATGATAGGAAAGGTCTAAGCAGAAGATATTACATTTGGGAATTGTTAGTATACAGATGATTATTAAAATGATGCAATCACACAAGAAGTATAGAAAGAGATGTGATTTGATGACTGAGCTTTGGGTATGATAGCATTTTGGGTTGGGAAGTGGGGAGAGACAGTAACAGAGACGTAGAAGGAGGGGCTCATGAAGTAAGAAGAACCAAGAAAGAGTGATATCCTGGAAATCAAATGACAAAGACGTTTCAAAGAGATAGTGATCCATGTGTCAAGTATGGCTAATAGGCAAGTAAGATTATGACTGAGGATCAACTGGTAAATTTAGCAATAATCAGTACTAGTGACCAGTATAAGAGCTGGTTCAATAGCAGTAGGGATTGAAAGCTGGACTGGAGTGAATCAAGGAAGAGTAGGAGTAGAAGAAATAGAGATAGTAAATCCATATTATGCTTTTGAATGATTTTTTCTTAATTCTACCACCCAGAGAGGCATGTGGAATCGTAAGAGTGTTGTTTTGTTTTGGGATGGGAGACATAACAATGTGCTTGTACATTCAGGAATAATTCATGGAGAGAGAAAAATGTGTGATGCAGGAGAGAGAGGAGATAATTCCCAGAGTGATGTCTTGAATAAGAGATGGACTAGGATCTTGAGAATTAACTAGTGGGTGTAGACACACAAACAGCAAGAAGGTTAGAGGCAGAGTAGATGGGCAGAGATAGTAATTCTTTTTTTTTTTTTTACTGAATGGTAACGAGAGATAGTAATTCTTTTGACCTACCACCACAGATGTAGCAATGGAGTTTTGGAAATTCTCTTCTGATTGCTTCATATAGTCAGTAAAGAGGAAGAGAGACTCAGATGAAAGTGAAGAAAGGGAGAGGAAATACAGAACATTTAAAGGAAAAGATAGTGTGAAACAGTAATGTAGAAGAGTGAAGGATGGCACAGAGTATAGAAATGTAGATGTCTAGAAAAGCACTAAGGACCCATTTGAAATCAGTGGTCAAAAATTTAAAATAAGACTATTTACTATGGCTGTTTCTCTCTAGCCATTTTCAACTGTGGAAGTGTGAGCACTGAGTAATTAGAGAGTAGGAATAAACTAAGTTTAGGGTTTTATCACATAAGTGTAACAAAGGGAAAGAAAGAGTTGAGTGTGTATGTAAAGCAGTGAGGAGTGATTATGGTGTTGTACCGAGGAATCTAACCTGGATACGAAGAAAAATGAGGCTCATTTCAAGGTCATGAAAAAGTGGTAAAGTAAAAATTTCTACTGGGTCAAAGAATTATTGGAATTGGAATACTAAAGAGAATAAGATTTAAAGATTGGTAGTGATAATTGATGATGCTTGAAATTGAGATTATGAAAAGAATATAGCTATTGGCAATGACCTTGTTTAGGGTGTGACTTTGGAAGTGAATGGCTAAATTATGGTAGAAGACAAGGCTTTTGGAAAAGAGGAGGTCAAAGAGCTAAAAACCTTTCAAGAATGAGGGGGACTGACCCAGAAGTTTACACATGACAAAAACTGGGGAGGGGAGCAGAGAGTAGTCTGATGGCATAAACTTTAAAGCTAGGAGGTAGTTTAGAAAAGATAAGAAAGGCAATGATGTAGAAATGGCAATGGAGAATAAGTAGGAATCCTACTGCTTCTCCAGCCCCTAGGCAAAAGGATGTGAGAGACACATGAATCACAAATTGATGAAGGGTAGAACATAGATGTTTGGGCACAATAATCAAGTAAATGAGGTGAAAGCTATGATGATTGGTTTGATGTAACCACGTCAGATTGTATAAAAAAAAAAGCACATTTTACCCCACATATGCATGAATGTATTCATGATCTATGTGTATTTGACTTAATAAAATTATAAAAAAAGTCACAAATTGAGAAGACTGCAGAAAAAGCACCATCTTCAAAGGAGAACCAATAAAAACAAAGATCCAATATATATTACAACAAGGAAGAAACTGTCAGACTGGATGTATCTGTATGTGTACGAGCTTCTCTCTATGCTATCTCTAGGCAATACTAAAAGGATGGCTTCCTGTGTTACAGAGGTACAGAGGCTAGATAGTGCTAAGAAAAGGTAAACGGTGGCAAAATTATAGCTGTTCACATCTCATTACTTTAGTTGTCTAAGGACAACTAATTACAGTTACAGTAGAAGAAGACCAAGCAAAACCAGCAATTTAAGTAATTTCTCCCTTGAGATTAAAAATATCAATAGAGTTATCATTTAAAATAAAGGGACCATGTGTAAAATCAGTGTCTAAAATCTCCTACTAATAAGCCTCTCAATGGGCTAACAAACAATCGATTGCCAACATCAAATAGCCTGAGTTAGATGAACTAAAATTGATGTGGGTGCTGATGCCCAGTGAGGTCTGTAGGTCAGTGGGCTCAAAGGGTGGAGGATACAATATTATTGTCTGGATTTGGCTTAAAATGAGGCATGACTCCTTGGAGTAACTTGGGAGGATGACCCTACCTAGACAGTTGCTATATAAAATTTGAGAAAAACAGAAAGGTAAGAAAAGCTATGGTCAGGACACTTTTTAGAATTTTTTTTTTTTTTTTTTGAGACAGAGCCTCAAGCTGTCCCCCTGGGCAGAGTGCTGTGGCATTACAGCTCACAGCAACCTCCAACTCCTGGGCTCAAGCGAGTCTCCTGCCTCCGCCTCCCAAGTAGCTGGGACCACAGGCGCCCGCCACAACGCCCGGCTATTTTTTGGTTGCAGCCGTCATTGTTGTTTGGCGGGTCCGGGCTGGGGATCCGAACCCGCCACCTTAGGTGTACGTGGCTGGCGCCTTAGCCGGTTGAGCTATAGGCGCCGAGCCTAGAATTGTTTTTTATAGGTCTTCTATTCCTTCCTTTGTTAGGTCTTCTGATCTAAAACCAATACCAAATGAGGACAAGATCCATTAAACACAAAAAACGTAAAGTGTAGAGAGAAGTTATGCAGAGGGTTCTTGGGCTTTATGCTGGGCACTCTAAACACTCTAGATGTGGAAAAGGAGAACAGGCCTAATGAAAAATATTAGAGCTTATCCTTTTTTAAAGTTTAGCATTTCAAGACGAACAAAAAAGACAGTCTTTTCTTATTTAAATGGAATTCTAACAACCAAAAGGCTGTCTCGCTATTTTTCCTCTAACATTTACCCTCCCACCTTGAAGTTCCAGGCACAAAGAGCCTAAAAGGACACTTGGCTCACCTGGGCTGTGACTGGCATTCTGGGGAAGTGCACTGGTGATGTTGGGTAGCTCGTGTCCATAGTTCCCATCCTCCAAGGGACAGATATCCAGGTCGCTCCACTTCTGTAGCTGCTGTAGCCAACAGGACTTTTCCTCCACTTTGCAGTGTGGATTTAAAATTATGCACACCCATAAAGCCCCTAGAAAATAAAGCAATCAATGTTCTTGATATCTCTCCTTTGATGTATGGGTAAGCCCTATTATTCCAGTTTCATTTTTAGTCAGTAGAGAAAGTTTCCAAAGCATTGGCTTTCCTTAATACAAAAAAAAAAAATTGCTAAGATCTTCAGAACTTGCTTAGCTTTTTCCCAAAGCTTCCTTAAAGCCAAGTGGCTATCTTGATATCTGAATCTGTGTGCTTGTGATGATGAAGACAGATTTAGGCTTGAATCTAAGCTCAAATCTGTTGTCTAATATTTATTGAGAGTCTTCTATGTTCAAGGCCCTGTACTGGTAAATGAGACAGACATTGTTTTTACCCTTGAGGAGCTTTCTAGTGGAGGAGACTGATAAACATATGACAGGCAGAAATTTAAATATGATAAATATTAAGATAAATATATGTTCAGGTACAATAGCAGCATAGAGGAAGGGCATTTTAGTACAAGGACAGGGCTGGAAGGGAGGAGCTCAGAAAGTGTTTCAACTTTTGGCTAATTTGGACTTCCTGAGTTTCAAATCCCTAAACTGTAAAACTGAGATCATAAAAATCACTATTTTGTAGTGACATTGTGAAAATTAAATGAAATAATATTTGTAAAGAGTCTAGGTAGCATATTATTTGCACATAGCAGAATCTTAGTATTTCCTTTTTCCAAGAAAAATGACTTGGACTTGAATTTTGAAACTGCTGATTAACTTGTAATACCTTAAAACCATTACTTACTTGGATTCTCTGTTACTGCAGCAGAATATCACATATTTCACATTGGGTATTGTTTCTTTGACCACAAAACCCTCCTTTCCAAGCAAACCTACATTTTCTTTTCAAGGTTGGTTATATGGCTAAGCCAGATAATTTCTTTTTTTTTTTTTTTGAGACGGAGCCTCAAGCTCCCTGGGTAGAGTGCCATGGCATCACAGCTCATAGCAACCTCCAACTCCTGGGCTCAAGCGAGTCTCCTGCCTCCGCCTCCCAAGTAGCTGGGACTACAGGCGCCCGCCACAACGCCCGGCCATTTCTTGGTTGCGGCCGTCATTGTTGTTTGGCGGGCCCGGGCTGGGGATTCGAACCTGCCACCTTAGGTGTATGTGGCTGACACCTTAGCCACTTGAGCTATAGGCGCCAAGCCCAGATAATTTCTTAATCCCAAATTAGCAATAAGCCTAGTTGCAGTGCATCTTAATTTAACCATCCCTTGGATGGAGTTAAATCATGGATGGAAATATTCTCAGACACTATTTCAAAGCCTCTCAAAGTCAAATAGCATTGTTTAAAAGGCCATCTTAGCCTCAATATCAGATTCTACGTTAAGATGAAAATGTCATTTCTCTTTTTTTTGTTTTTTTTCCTTTTATTAAATAACTATTTACATTAATGCAATTCTGGGGTACAGTGTGGTGTTTTCATATACAATTTGAAATATTTTCATCAAACTGGTTAATATAGCCTTCATGTCGTTTTCTTAGTTATTGTGTTAAGATGTTCATATTCTACTCTTAGAAAGATTCACTTGTACCCTTGTAAGATAAACCATAGAAGTGACCCCTCCAATCACCCTCCCTCCACCCATGTCCCCCTCCCCGTATTCTTAGGCTGTTATTAGGTTATAGATTTCATATGAAAGCTATAAATTAATTTCATGATAGGGCTGTGTACATTGGATACTTTTTCTTCCATTCCTGTGACACTTTGCTAAGAAGAACACTTTCCAGCTCCATCCATGTGAACATGAAGGACGTAAAGTCTCCATCTTTTTTTATGGCTGCATAGTATTCCATGGTGTAAAATGTCATTTCTTTTGGTTCAATTCAGTTTTTAAAATGTGTCATGGGAAAAAAACTATACTATGTAATAATTACAATAAGGGTTCTTAAAGAGATTTATAGTAATAATAATACAGGATGTCCATAAAGTTTGTGGGCAATTTTAATTGCACACCATTTTAAGTTGCTCACAAACTTTATAGACCCTCTGTATTTATTTTACATGTTTAAGAAGTGCTTTCCATCTCTATAATGATGAACAGAGTCTTCATGTTTGGTCTTCACAGACAGAAAAGAGGACCAAAGTAGAGGCTATTACATTTGGCAACTAGAAAGATCTGGTGATCTTTGAAATGCCAAAATCAATAGGATAATAGGAATGGAAAATAGATTAGATGATACAAGGGAGGCTTAAGAGGTAAAGAAACAGAGTGGTAAGTCTAGTCATGTAGGAGCTCCTATTTCCTAGGCATTTAGCAATTAAGAAGGAGATACCTAGAAAGTGAGTGCAAGTACTTTTTTTTTGAGACAGAGTCTCACCATGTCACCCTTAGTAGAGTGCTGTACCATCATAGCTCACAGGAACCTCACACTCTTGGGCTTAAGCAATACTCTTGCCTCAGCCTCCGAAGTAGCTGGGACTACAGGCACCCGCCACAAGGTCTGGCTATTTTTTGGTTGTAGTTGTCGTGGTTTGGCAGGCCTAGGCTGGATTTGAACCTGCTAGCTCTGGTGTATGTGGCTGGTGCCCTAGCCGCTGAGCTTCAGGCGCTGAGCCCAAGTACTTTTATCTATAAGTTAAAAACGAGTTATGAATTTGTTTAAAAAACACTCAAGAGACTGTTGTATCTTTAAGAAAGAGCCAAAGCAAAAAATCCTACAATTGTCTGCATGTAACAGTACTTATAAGATTTATATAAGTATAATACGTGTAATACTAAGTTACTAGTATATAAAAGCATATTTTCCTGCAATTTAAAAAAAAAGTCAAACCTTTGAGCAAAGGTAACTAATATGGGCTTGGCACCCATAGCTCAGTGGTTAGGGCACCAGCCACATATACCTGGGTGGCGAGTTCAAACCCAGCCCGGGCCTGCTAAACAACAATGACGACTATAACAAAAAAACAGCCAGGTGTTGTGGCAGGTGCCTGTAGTCCCAGCTACTTGGGAGGCTGAGGTAAGAGAATTTCTTAAGTCCAAAAGTTTGAGGTTGCTGTGACCTGTGATGCCACTGCACTCTACTGAGGGCAATATAGTAAGACTCTGTAAAAAAAAAGAGTAACTAATATGAAAGTTAAAATTTTACATAATCATTATATATTAAATGTAACAAAATAATAGCTATAGTTTATTCATTTTTATGGGCTAGGCATTATATTTAGTACTTTATCTCAATTGTCCTCTAACTGAAGGTCAACAGGTCTTGGTTTGAATGTAGAAAGTTGAAAATGGGACTAAGGATGATTTTTACATTTTCTTCTTGAGCAATGAGATGCATCCTGATGCTGTGTTCTGAGATGAGGACAAGGGAAAATCAAGTTTTGGTAAGAAAATGAAGAGTTCCATAATGGTCATATTAATTTTGAGTTGTTTCCTAGAAGTGATGGGCAGCTGAGCACACGCTGGAGCTTAGGGGAAAGATTATGGCTTGTGACATAAATCTGTGACTTATCTGCATCTGGATGGTATTTAAAACCATGGTATTGAATGTAACCATTTAGGTGAAGAATGTAGATAGGAATGTAGGTGGTGCACGATCCTCATTGTTTAGAAAGGTTGAGGAAAAGCAGAGAAATGTGCAAAAAAGACTGGGAGAAAGTAGCCAGGAATGTAGGAGAGAAACCAGGAGGGTGAGCAGCTACAGAAACCAAAAGAAAAATAAGTTTCAAGAAGAGTATGGTCAACTTTATTGAAAACTGCTAAGAGGCTCGGCGCCTATAGCTCAACCGGCTAAGGCGCCAGCCACATACACCTAAGGTGGCGGG